AGATAGTCCACAACTCACATCCGTATATTGCTACAGGGAAGATAGGAGATAGTCCACAACTCACATCCGTATATTGCTACAGGGAAGATGGGAGATAGTCCACGACTCACATGCGTATATTGCTACATGGAAGATGGGTGATGGTCCACGACTCACATCCGTTTATTGCTACAGGGAAGATTGGAGATAGTCCACGACTCACATCCGTATATTGCTACAGGGAAGATGGGAGATAGTCCACGACTCACATCCGTGTGTTGCCCACGACTCACATCCGTGTGTTGCTACAGGGAAGATGGGAGATAGTCCTCAACTCACATCCGTATATTGCTACAGGGAAGATGGGAGATGGTCCACGACTCACATGCGTATATTGCTACAGGGTAGATAGTAGATAGTCCACGACTCACATCCGTATATTCCTACATGGAAGATGCATGCTCTCAAAATTCTTTGATCTCCTGACTGGTATGTAATGTTAGACCTGTATGTTATAAACCACTCGGCACTTGGTGGCTGAAATGGTCAGCGTCACGATGGCCGGCTTTACTTCCAGGGACTGAACCTACTACCCACTCAAAGCTAGGTCGACCTGTAAGCCAAGGTCATTTGTAAAAAGTCCGGCTCCGTCTAGACCCGACCCACGATCTTTCGATTTGTAGGCGAGCGTCTAGCCGCTACACCACGACAGCCATCCTTATTTCCTGTACATGTTTTATGTAATCAGTAGCGGGTATGTTGTCTAGTTTTGAATTTTAACTTGCACCGCTGTCCGAACCGTTGTTCAGAGGCCAAGGAAAGGGAGTATACAGCTATGTCTTTATTGAACTGATGATAATGCGCATATTCAACCGTGTGAATGGAACCAGGGTTGCAGCTGTGCTGTGATCGCTCCTCAGATAAACTTTGCTTGGCTCGAGTGCTAGAGAAACTGAAGGTTACTTGTATGTGTCACTGCCGGAGTTGACCTGACAACTGAGCGGCTTCATGTTGTTCCCTGGGAGACCTTCAATCCTCATCACAGACTAGTCGACCCCTGCAGCTTTACAAAAACGTTACATCCTCAGAGTCGCTGCTGCGGCACCTTTGTGATGTGGATTCACATTTATGAACAGACAGTTCTCGGCTGCTGCATGAATGTTTGTGCACTCATCCTGAGATGACAAACTCTCAATCATGATGGCAGACCAACAAGTCAGAACCCAGATACCCTCTTCAACCTAAAAAAAAAAGTTTTAATTGACGGGACTGTATTGGTACCACTTGCCACCTTACCTTAACACCTGCAGCTAGCTGACCCACAGAACCCGGCAGAATGAAAGTATGGAGACAGTTCTGTGTATCCCCTGTATGTGTCTTATAAAATAACGGTAGCTGATACGTAGTGAGACTTTTGGCTGTCTTATCGCATAACGTTAGCGGATACGTTGTGACACCCTTGTATGTCTTACTGGGTAACGCTAGCGGATACGTTGTGAAACTCATGGCTGTCTTACTGGGTAACGCTAGCGGATACGTTGTGAAACTCATGGCTGTCTTACTGGGTAACGCTAGCGGATACGTTGTGAAACTCATGGCTGTCTTATAATATAACGTTAGCTGATACGTAGTGAAACTCTTGGCTGTCTTATTGTATAACGTTAGCGAATACGTTGTGAAACCCTTGTCTGTCTTACTGTGTAACGTTAGCGGATACGTTGTGAAACTCTTGGCTGTCTTATTATATAACGTTAATTGATACGTTGTGAAAACCTTTGCTGTCTTATTATATAACGTTAGCTGATACATTGTAAACCTCTTAGCTGTCTTTATTATATACCTTTAATTAAAACGTTGTGAAAACCTTTTCTGTCTTATTATATAACGTTAGCTGATACGTTGTGAAACTCTTGGCTGTCTTATAATATAACGTTAATTGATTCGTTGTGAAAACCTTTTCTGTCTTACTGATACGTTGTGAAAACCTTTTCTGTCTTATTATATATAACGTTAGTTGATACGTTGTGAAACTCGTGGCTATCTTATCGACAGGACTCAGTTTGACGTGGTCACTGCGTATCATAGTGTACTTTTTTTTTGTTTTAATCGTATTGTCACTTTTTTTCGTTGTTATTTTTTTTTGTTTTAATCGTATTGTCACTTTTTTCGTTGTTTTTTTTTTTTTGTTTTAATCGTATTGTCACTTTTTTCGTTGTTATTTTTTTTTTTTTTGTTTTAATCGTATTGTCACTTTTTTCGTTGTTATTTTTTTTGTTTTAATCGTATTGTCACTTGTTTCGTTGTTATTTTTTTGGTTTTAATCGTATTGTCATTTTTTTTCGTTGTTATTTTTTTTTGCGCCTATGTATAAACTAATCATGAACTTCATGTGTGTCAGTCCGTACTGGAATTGTCTCAGAGAGAAAAAAAAATAAGACTATATGTGACCCATTAGTATTGTCTGTCTGTCTGTCTGTCTGTCTGTCTGTCTGTCTGCCTGCCTGCCTGCCTGCCTGCCTGCCTGCCTGCCTGTTTGTGTGTCTGAATTTCTTAATTTCCTAATTTCTTTCTGGTTGTTTTCTTCTTTTTGTCTGCGTGCATCGATGCCAGTTTTAACAACGGGAACATCCGGGTCATTAACTGTTTGCCCTCTTTCATATTTTTCCAGCTTGGACGCGGACCTGAACCTGAAGCAGGAGGTCAAGACGGGACCCGCGCTGGACTCAGAACAGTGCCCCCCGCCAGTGGACCAAGTGAAGCAATGCACACTCCCTCGGCGCTATGTACACAATGTCAACAAGTTGCTGCTATTCAACGAAGCCAACAACACGCTGATCGCCTGTGGCACCCTCTACCACGGCTTCTGCGAAAAAAGAAACGTTTATAACATCTCCGACGTGGAGCCCAGGGTCTACCGGTCCTCGGTGGTCACCTACAACGCCTCGGCGTCCACTGTGGCGTTTATCGCTCCCGGTCCGGCCTCTTTGGCTGACGGAAATCAGGACCTTGTCATGTACGTCTCCGTTTCCTGGTCCAAACCGGAGGGGATACTGGAAGATGTGCCCGCTTTTGCCAGCCGCAAGCTCACAGACTTCACTGTAGCAAGTAAAGACACCTTGGAGTTCACCTCCACGTCATTACACATTGAAGGTCAACAGAGACAGCAGTTTCCTGTGCGGTACGTCTATGGATTTAGTTCCGAGAACTTCAGTTATATGCTGACCGTCCAGAAGACGGACCTGAGGCCGGAGACTGTGGCCTACCACACAGTTATCCTGCGGGTGTGCCAGAACGACCCGAGCTATTACTCTTATGTGGAGGTGCCTTTAGTCTGCTCCTTTGGGATCGGCGATGATCTGAATACCTACAACATTTTAGTGGCGGCTCATTTGACTAAAGCCGGGAGAAGCCTGGCCTTGTCTTTAGGGACCAACACCCAAGCTGATGTCCTGTTTGCCCTGTTCGCTCGCATGGACAACCCTTACGCTCAGCCCAAAGCTCAGCCCAAAGCAGAAGCCTTGTGCATTTATAGAATGGACCACGTGCGGGCTAAATTTACAGAAACAATTAAAAAATGCTTTGATGGAATTGGGATCTCCGGTGGCGGCCATCTGGGAATGGCCAAGCCGTGCACAAAAAATATAGTAAGGATGCTCAAATTGTTTTTATGTTTTATGATAAATGGTTGAGTCTCCTCCTCTTCCTTATCTTCCTCCTTCTTTTCCCTCCTCTTCCTCGATCATCCGTTTCTGCTTTTGCTTCTTCCTCTTCGCCGTCGTCAGCATCATCATCAGCAGTACCATTAAGCATAGCTGGTCTTGGTTTCGCTGTCTCACGCAATCACTAGAATCCCAGATCAGATCTGGCGTATCAAATATGGTGTCGTTGAGGTATGTGTTAGTAGGTTACTAGCAACAACAACTGGTACGATCTACGCCAAAGGGGGTAGATAGATAACAAGGACGTGTAATGTAAAGAAATATTCGGCTCTTAATATAATTAATTTTATGGACTTTCCTGGAGCTGCATTGGAGGCCCCCGCTAAGTGCATGGGCAGACTCATGGGCAGACTCATGTGCGGACTCATGTGCGGACTCATGTGCGGACTCATGTGCGGACTCATGTGCGGACTCATGGGCAGACTCATGGGCAGACTCATGGGCGGCGGACTCATGGGCAGACTCATGGGCAGACTCATGGGCGGACTCATGGGCGGACTCATAGGCGGACTCATGGGCAGACTCATGGGCGGACTCATGGGCGGACTCATAGGCGGACTCATGGGCAGACTCATGGGCGGACTCATGGGCAGACTCATGGGCGGCGGACTCATGGGCAGACTCATGGGCGGACTCATGTGCGGACTCATGGGCAGACTCATGGGCGGACTCATGGGCAGACTCATGGGCGGACTCATAGGCGGACTCATGGGCAGACTCATGGGCGGACTCATGGGCGGACTCATGGGCAGACTCATGGGCGGCGGACTCATGGGCGGACTCATGGGCGGACTCATGTGCGGACTCATGGGCGGACTCATGGGCGGACTCATGGGCGGACTCATGGGCAGACTCATAGGCGGACTCATGGGCGGACTCATGGGCGGACTCATGGGCAGACTCATGGGCGGCGGACTCATGGGCGGACTCATGGGCGGACTCATGGGCAGACTCATGGGCGGACTCATGGGCGGACTCATGGGCAGACTCATAGGCGGACTCATAGGCGGACTCATGGGCAGACTCATGGGCGGACTCATGGGCGGACTCATGGGCGGACTCATGGGCAGACTCATAGGCGGACTCATAGGCAGACTCATGGGCAGACTCATGGGCGGACTCATGGGCAGACTCATGGGCGGACTCATGGGCGGACTCATGGGCAGACTCATAGGCGGACTCATAGGCAGACTCATGGGCAGACTCATGGGCGGACTCATAGGCAGACTCATGGGCGGACTCATGGGCAGACTCATGGGCGGACTCATAGGCGGACTCATGTGCAGACTCATGGGCAGACTCATGGGCGGACTCATGGGCGGACTCATGGGCAGACTCATGGGCGGACTCATGGGCGGACTCATGGGCGGACTCATGGGCAGACTCATGGGCGGACTCATGGGCGGACTCATGGGCAGACTCATAGGAGAACTCATGGGCGGACTCATAGGCGGACTCATGGGCGGTCTCATGGGCGGACTCATGGGCGGATTCATGGGCGGACTCATGGGCGGACTCATGGGCAGACTCATGGGCGGACTCATGGGCAGACTCATGGGCGGACTCATGGGCGGACTCATGGGCGGACTCATGGGCAGACTCATGGGCGGACTCATGGGCAGACTCATAGGCGGACTCATAGGCGGACTCATGGGCGGACTCATGGGCGGACTCATGGGCAGACTCATGGGCGGACTCATGGGCGGACTCATGGGCAGACTCATGTGCAGACTCATGGGCGGACTCATGGGCGGACTCATGGGCAGACTCATGGGCAGACTCATGGGCAGACTCATGGGCAGACTCATGGGCAGACTCATGGGCAGACTCATGGGCAGACTCATGGGTAGACTCATGGGCAGACTCATGGGGAGACTCATGGGCGGACTCATGGGCGGACTCATGGGCGGACTCATAGGCGGACTCATGGGCAGACTCATGGGCGGACTCATGGGCGGACACGGTCAGGAACGGCTGGAGTAGAGTGCATCAATCATTAATGCCAACAGTGAACTCTGCACATCTGAGGTTACACAGTGATCAAACAGTATATCTCCAGTAGGGATCCCGAAGGAGGATGTCACTACTCTGCCCTCATTTGGCTATCGAGTTATGTATGTTATTCTAAAAATATTAGAAATAGAACAGTTTTGGTTTTTGTGTGTGCAACATTTGACGACTGAAAGGATTTGTTGAGAACGGCATCGCTCATGCCAGATGGTCAGTATGATGATGATGTACTGTGCTGATCATGTGCACTGACACAAAGAAAACTTGGGGTGTTGGGGGGGGGGGGGGGGTTAGGCGCTACTTGGACAAGGAGGTGTCATGCTTAAGGGCCTATCTAATCCTTACTAGTTTGAGAGCATAATAATAGTAGTAGTAATAGTGGTGATGGTAGCAGTGGTGGGTGGTTGTGGTGGTAGTAGTTGTGATACCATTCTGAAGAGAAAATAAACATAATCGTATTCTTGAAGTGACATTTGTAAAGAGAAACTTTTTAAATATTAAAGAAGCCTTGTCTCTCTGACTGTATTAGTGTTGTGGGTGGTGTTGGGGTGGAAAAAAAAAAGGGGGGGGGGGGGGGGGGGAGCTTGAAGGGCCCGGAGTCCTAGTTTTCGGCTTCATCGTTGGTGTATAAACTGGTTTTGTGCAGAAAGCACAGAAGACAACAAAATGAATGCAGGCCTGCCTTCACGTTGTGTTACATTTTTCAGAATATACTTTAGGGAATTGGTAGTGATTTAAAGTGAAAGGTCTTGGGCGTAAGTATTTGGGTCACATGGCTAGTGCAGTACAGTAATTCCAGACTGTGCAGGTTAGGAACCTGTATTCAGACTGCTGGTTCCTTGCCTCTCAGGCAGATGCACTCCGACTTCGAAAGAAGCTCACAATTAGTCGACTCTTACGACATGCTTTGGGGTATGCAGAGAGTCTTTTCTTGTTTCCCCTTTAATAGGGCCCTGGAATCCACACGGGGATATAGGTAAAGCGATAAGCATGCGGCTGTTTTCTCCGCTGGAAGATGAAAGGCTGAAGGGAGGAGGAAGAAGGGGAAGAAAAAGAAGAAGATATAGAAAACGAATGTTATTTTATAACCTATTTTTTTTTTGTCACAGTTCAAAATCACCGATGACTACTGTGGAGAGACTGACTCCAACCAGCCTTTAGCCGGAGATGTGCCTATTGTCAGCCAGCCAGTTCTGACGTTTCCTCCCACCGCTTTCAACCTCAGCGCCATCCGTGTCACAACCACGCATGACTACACCGTGGCCTTTGTGGGCACCAGAGATGGAAAGATCATCAAGGTATGAAGATATCGTGGGTTGTTGAATGTCTCTTAACAAAAGAGAAACATTTAGTTCACTTTTCTACGCTTTCAGGTGTTTGGGGCCACATAGGTCTAGGCCTATACATTTTTTTTTTAGATAACTTGACACCCGAAGGCTTATATGGTCGACATCACGCCGGCTGCTTTTACTTTCCAGGATTGTACATGGAGCCTATTTAGAGCTGGATCCACGGGGGAGCCAAGGTTATTTTTGAAGAAGAGGAAGAAAAGTCCGGCTCCATAAAGACCTGAACCCAGACCTTTCCTATCCTCAGGCAAGCGTCTAGCCGCTACACTACGGCGGTTCCCTGTCCTGTATACGCCTGTCTAATATATGTCTGTTCCCGTCTAGAATATACGCCTGTCTAATATATATCTGTTCCCGTCTAGTATATACGCCTGTCTAATATATGTCTATTCCCATCTAGTATATATACGCCTGCCTAATATATGTCTGTTCCCGTCTAGTATATACGCCTGTCTAATATATGTCTGTTCCCGTCTAGTATATACGCCTGTCTAATATATGTCTGTTCCCGTCTAGTATATACGCCTGTCTAATCTATGTCTGTTCCCGTCTAGTATACGCCTGTCTAATATATGTCTGTTCCCGTCTAGTATATACGCCTGTCTAATATATGTCTGTTCCTGTCTAGTATATACGCCTGTCTAATATATGTCTGTTCCCGTCTAGTATATACGCCTGTCTAATATATGTCTATTCCCGTCTAGTATACGCCTGTCTAATATATGTCTGTTCCCGTCTAGTATATACGCCTGTCTAATATATGTCTGTTACCGTCTAGTATATACGCCTGTCTAATATAGGTATGTTCCTGTCTAGTATATACGCCTGTCTAATATATGTCTGTTCCCGTCTAGTATATACGCCTGTCTAATATATGTCTATTCCCGTCTAGTATATACGCCTGTCTAATATATGTCTGTTACCGTCTTGTATTTACGCCTGTCTAATATATGTCTGTTACCGTCTGGTATATACGCCTGTCTAATATAGGTCTGTTCCCGTCTAGTATATACGCCTGTCTAATATATGTCTGTTCCCGTCTAGTATATACGCCTGTCTAATATAGGTCTGTTCCCGTCTAGTATATACGTCTGTCTAATATATGTCTGTTCCCGTCTAGTATACGCCTGTCTAATATAGGTCTGTTCCCGTCTAGTATACGCCTGTCTAATATATGTATGTTCACGTCTAGTATACGCCTGTCTAATATAGGTCTGTTCCCGACTAGTATATACGCCTGTCTAATATAGGTCTGTTCCCGTCTAGTATATACGCCTGTCTAATATATGTCTGTTCCCGTCTAGTATATACGCCTGTCTAATATATGTCTGTTCACGTCTAGTATATACGCCTGTCTAATATATGTCTGTTGCCGACTAGTATATACGCCTGTCTAATATAGGTCTGTTCCCGTCTAGTATATACGCCTGTCTAATATATGTCTGTTCCCGTCTAGTATATACGCCTGTCTAATATATGTCTGTTCACGTCTAGTATATACGCCTGTCTAATATATGTCTGTTACCGACTAGTATATACGCCTGTCTAATATAGGTCTGTTCCCGTCTAATATATACGCCTGTCTAATATATGTCTGTTCCCGTCTAGTATATACGCCTGTCTAATATATGTCTGTTCACGTCTAGTGTAACCGTGTCTAATATAGGTCTGTTCCCGTCTAGTATACGCCTGTCTAATATGTCTGTTCCCGTCTAGTATAAACGCCTGTCTAATATATATATGTTCCCGTCTAGTATATACGCCTGTCTAATATAGTCTGATTCCGTATAGTAAACGCCTGTCTAATAAATGTTTGTTCCCGTCTAGTATACGCCTGTCTAATATATGTATGTTCCCGTCTAGTATAACCCTGCCTAAAATATGTCTGTTCCCGTCTAGTAAATGCTGTCTAATGTATGTCTGTTCCCGTCTAGTATTTGCCTGTCTAATATATGTCAGTTCCCGTCTAGTATACGCGTGCTGGGATCTAGTTGACCACATCACACATTGATTCCCACTTGGTCTAGAAAAAGAAGTCATTGCGCCAATGCCTGATGTCTAAAAAGTGCAGAGATGGTCTTTGTCTTTATTGACTTACTATAGTATATTAGCGGCGTCTGTAAGTTGCATCGACAGCCTTGCGTTGACTTTGACAGTGCATCGAGAGCCGACCGTTTAGGAAGCAGTGACAGACAACTGCAAGTATTACTATAGTTTCCCCTGTGGGTTCCAGGGCCCTATGCTGGAGAAAACCGGGGTTGGGGGGGGGGGGGGGGGGGGGGGGGGAGGGAGCAACTGCCTCTCTAACAAGCATATCGTTAGAGTCGTTTGATTTAGAATTTTCTTCAAAGTCAGAAAGCACGTGAGAGGCAATTAATTAACAGTATGCATACAACTTATTCAGATCCGTAGTACGGATGTGCATGCAGTACTCAAGTTCTGGAACAGAAATAGTCCAAAAATGGACAAGCAACCAGAACATTCTGCCAGAGTTTACAGTCAGTGACCTTGAAGAAGAAGAAAAAATTTCCTAGTGAAACACAGACAGCCAAAAAAAAAAAAAAAAAAATACTGAGGTTGGTTACGCAACTTCTTGCAAAGGATACTCAACTAAGTAGCTTAATTAATAAACCAGATTGACTCGGCATAACTAGTTGACGCCTTTGTGAGTTTAACATATACTTTAAAAAGACAATGCAAATAATGACAATATAAAAATTTTAAACGCCACATCGTGTATTAATTACATCAGAGGGCAGCAGATAAAAACATGTGGGCATCTTTTTAGATTGCCGCTCATCGGTTACCAAAAAGAGACAGAGAAAAACCATGAAAAGAATGGACGGATAACAGAAAGGTGCACTTAAAACACAGATGTAACTAAATTAAGATAGTACATCAGGTTTTACAATACAAACCTAGTGCTGTTTTCTGGCGTTTTCCAGGGACAACCTTATACTTGGCGACAAGTGATTGTGGCTTTTGAAGAGATAACATCCACTTGAGCTCAGACAAGAGGCAGTGGGATTGTACTTTACTATCAGTTTTCTTGGATCTTAAAAGGCACTTATATCGAAAGGATCGACTTTATTACATTGAGTTTCATCCGGTAGGGATCTCTTTACACAGCACAGCTGGTTGCCTGACAAGAGCATCTCACGAAGCACGAATTCTGCATCTCCAGCAACGTCAATGTGATGCCCTTTGAGGGTCACGGATCACCATTACACTCCTCTCACGAACTGTGGCTCCAAAACCAAACTCAGAACTCTCCTACCATCCTTATCGTCGTTGTCATCACCATCATCACCATGTTGACCGTTTTACGTTACAAAGGGCTCGCAGTCCCTGAGATTCTTGAATGTTCTTCTTCTTCTTCTTCTTCTTCTTCTTCTCCTCCTCCTCCTCCTCTTCCTCCTCCTCCTCCTCCTCCTCCTCCTTCTTCTTCTTCTTCTTCTTCTTCTTCTTCTTCTTCTTCTTCTTCTTCTTCTTCTTCTTCTTCTTCTTCTTCTTCTTCTTCTTCTTCTTCTTCTTCTTCTTCTTCTTCTTCTTCTTCTTCTTCTTCTTCTTCTTCTTCTTCTTCTTCTTCTTCTTCTTCTTCGGGATCTAGGCCATTGGTTTCACAAATGGATCTTAGCACCCACAAATGGATCTCGGCACCCACAAAGGGATCTCGGCACCCGCACCGGGAATCTCGTGACCCTAATTTAAGGTTCTTTACTACTGATAAATTATAAAACACAACACAGTATGCCTCAGTGAGAAAGCTGCAGCGTTTACTAGTCAAAGATGGATTTAAGTGTTTCTGACAGCGGTTCACTCAGTGACGCACTTCCGCCGCACACAGAATAGACGTATCGATTCAGCAGGTGTCCGCTTTGCACCTGTTTTTTTTTTTTTTAAATCTCCTTTCCCTTATTAATGTTCTGTGCTGGCGACAATTCCCCCAGACCATTAATCGACTGCTTCAGTTGGTTTATAATCTCGTGTTGCTTTGAGGTCAGTGTCAATCGTATGGTTAGGGTTGTATGTTGGTGTATTGATTTGTTGTTAAATGTCAAGGTTGTTGAACGGCATCATTTTTTGCGGACACCTCATTTCACTGGTAAATCTGGGCGTCCTAAAATAGTTTGGGACATTTGTAGCTTTTCCCCCAGTTTTCACAAGCCAAGACAAAACCAACATTCACTGACAATTTAGTAAACTGCAGGAGCAGTAAATATACTCTGGAGTCGTAAAAATAGTTCTCTTTGCTCTTCCAGCAGACATTGCTTCAGTAAAAGAGGTTCCTCTTTGCTCTTCCAGTACATATTGCTTCAGTAAAAATAGTTCTCTTTGCTCTTC